TGAAGTGATTAGTTAGTGAACTTTTTGGAAAAATAACTCAATCGAAAAATAACTCAATGGGGACATTCTCTTACTCTCTATCATATAACCCAATTGAAAGCCTAGGAGAGGAAAAGGGACTACATTCAGAATATTAGAGACAGAGAAGAGAACAGAGCAAAGACCCAAAAAGAGGGTCACGATCTGCTGCTGATCTGCTGCCGATCTGGTGCTGCCCGGCGCTGCTATGCCGTTGGCATTCGGCTGCGCGAGAAAGCAAGAGGGAGAGGGAGAGGGAGAGGGACTACATTCACAATGTTAGAGATAGAGAAGAGAACAGAGCAGCGATCCAACAAGGGTCGCGATCTGCTGCCGCCGATCGAGCACTGTTGTGCCTTTCGCATTCAGCGGCGCAAGAGAGTAAGAGGGAGAAGGAGATGGAGAAGGAGAGGGAGAGAAGAAGAAGAGAAGAAGAAGAGAAGAAGAACATACCTGAGAAGTGCTGCCGCCGATCACTCTGTGCTGTGTGCCGTTTCACATGGACGAGAAAATGATAAGAAGTTAGGTCAATTGGTTGTTTATACACTAGTCAACATTTTTTGGCAATAAAAAATTTGGTAAAAAATAAAAAACTTTGTTTATTGATATAATTGTCTTTATAGAAATTATTTGTCTTTAATAATTGTATTATTTGTCTTTAAAGAGTACAAATTATTTCTATAAATTATTTGTCTGTACCAAATTGTTTATTCACTTGTCAACAATTTTGGGCAATAAAAAATTTGTAAAGACAAATAATTTATTGGCAACCAAATTAATTTGGTTGCCAAAAATATTATTCAGATTTTTAGCGACCAAGGAATGTCTGTCGCCAAACAAATACAATTGGCGACTAAATGTTCCGTCGCTATAAATTAATTTGGTCGCTAAAAAATTTTTCGCGCTCCCGCGCAAGAAATTCACTTGGCGCCAAAATCAATAGCGACCAAAATTCTAAATTCGTCGCCAAAAGTTTATTTTTTAGTGACCACAAATATTCTGTCGCCAATTATGTATCTTTGGCAACTAAATTTTTGTTTGGTTGCTAAAAAGTGTCACCAAAAATGTTTTTTGTTGTAGTGCCTTTTTCAGTTAAGTTAAAGGCGTTTTCGGCTCTAACTCCCAACCTACACGTGCTAATTACATTCCGTCTATTGTCATAGGTCCTATTTGTGATAAGAAATCTGGTTGTGATATCCATATAGTGGTTCGGGCCTGTTTTGCATATTCGCATCCTTAACGCCCCTTTTTAGTTAAGTTAATGGCGTTTTCGGTTCTAACTCCCAACCTACATGTGCTAATTACATTCTGTCTGTTGTCATAGGTCCTATTTGTCATGAGAACTTTGGTTGTGATATTCATACGGTGGTTCGGAGGCTGTTTTGCATTTTTGCCTCCTTAACATCCTTTTTCAACTCTAACTCCCAACCTACACGTGCTAATTTCATTCCGTTTGTTGTCACAGGTCCTATATGTCATGAGGAAGCTGGTTGTGACATCCGTATGGTAGTTCGGGGGTTGTTTTTCTTTTTCGCCCCCTTAACGCTTTTTTTCGGTTAAGTTAAATGCGTTTTCAGCTCTAACTCCCAACCTACATGTGCTAATTACATTGTTTCTATTGTCATAGGTCCTATTTGTCATGAGGAATTTGGTTATGATATCCGTATGGTGGTTCGAGGCCTGTTTTGCATTTTTGCCTCCTTAACGCCCTTGTTCAGTTAAGTTATAGGCATTTTCGGCTCTAATTCCCAACCTACACGTGCTAATTACATTTTATTTGTTGTCATAGGCCCTATATGTGGTGAGGAAGCTGGTTGTGACATCCATATGGTGGTTTGGGGGCTGTTTTGCATTTTCTCCCCCTTAACGCCCTTTTTCGGTTAAGTTAAAGGAGTTTTCAGCTCTAACTCCCAACCTACACGTGCTAATTACATTCCGTCTATTGTCACAGGTCCTATTTGTCGTAAGGAAGTTGGTTATGATATCCGTACAGTGGTTTGTGGGCTGTTTTGCACTTTTGCCTCTTGAACGCCCTTGTTTGAATAAATTTTAATAAAGAAAGCTGCATACGTTTGTCTCTAGGTATCCGATTCCTTTAATTTAGCTTGATATCCAAGTACATTATAAAATATTCCAATTTCATTTATTTTCTAGAATAGAATGGTGTGCACAATATGCCATAAAGCATTTTATTCACATTTTTTGTATAGTTTTACGATTAACTCGAATTGGTAAGTATGTTTGTACGTGAATGTCTAATTACACATATTGGCTACATATCTTATGCTCATATCCTTATCCAAGTATAATGTCTGACAAGGATACTCTATGCATTTAGGAAAGGGTAAATTGCGCTAACCTCTCCTAAAGTTTACAGAAAATACAAGCATTTAATTCGGTACAAAATGTACCGAAATTGATACAAAAAGTGCAAAGATACAAAGAGAAATAAGGTAAAATAAACATTTCAATGTAAAAGAGTTGATAATATCATTTTTTCATAAATATAAATAAATTATTGATGAAAAAGGGTTTAAGTGTTATGTAAATTAAAATTCAGTAATGATTTAGACCCCCCCAAAACATTACCCCCACAACCTCCACTCACTTGTGATTGGTCCAAGTAAGAAAGACGGGAAAAAAAAAAAATACAAATGCATCATTGGTCCACATCACTGTTGGGGTGGTGGGAGTCTCCCCAAAAAGGGGTCCCAAACATTATTCATTAAAATTTTTAGGGATCCCAATGTAATTATGCCAAACTTGTGGAGTTCACTGTATTTTTTTTTTTCAAATCTTAGGGGTGGTCAGTGAAATTTACCCTTAGGAAAGTATGTAACATAAAGATAATGAGATCCATATTAATAAATACACATGAAATCCATCGTCTTTGAGCTTAGAAGTAATAAATTGAAAATTGGGTAAGTAATAATACTCAACTAAATTATAGCATTTCACAAAACCATGGAAAATGGGGTAACGTCACCAAAAAAAGATTAAAACAATTTCGCAAAAACAGCAAATATCTGCCCTCAAGTTTAATTGATAGAAAATTTATTTCTCTTTGCTACCAAAAATCACCCAAAGCATGACAACAAACACAACTTGACCAAAAAAATAACAATAAGTCAAGGAACATAAACATTAAACACAGAACTGGACAAAAAATACATTGACGAAACATGATTTTTTAGAAGTGAGACCGTCAACTAATTTTGTAGAAATCATGTTCATTCATGTGTTTCTAGGTCCGGTTCTGTGTTTGGTTTACATATTCCTAAACTTACTGAAAAACTATTAACAAAAGTATATAAAATGAGGAAGGGAACTAGAACAACTACTCTTGGGGAACTAAGCTAATCTCACCTTTATTGAGCGAGTCATAGAATCCTGTGGTTCTTTTCTTCATGTCCCATTGTTTCTTCTTCCACACACTAGGAACAGACAGACCGATTATAATCCCCAAACAAATCTCCTTGATCAGCCCTTGACCTTCCAAGGAGACTTGATGACCAGCCATTTTCACTCTAGTTGTAAAGAAGAAATCTATGCAGTTTAGAGAAGGATCATGAAGGGCATATCATAAGTTAATTGTTAATTAACGTAACATGATAATTGGTTCGATTTTCTCCCAAAAAAAAAAAAAAAAAAGAAAAGAAAAGAAGATATAAGATTAACCAATTATTGGCCACCAAAGTATGACAACCTAGTACACGAGTCTTTTTTCTAAAGCGAGTTTTGAGGAAGGCAAGATGTATGCAATCTTAGTCTCAATTTTGAAGACGTTGGCCACCAAAGTATGGGATTGAATTTATTTAAAAAAATCTTCAATCTTATTAGTGACATGAATGTTCAGGGTGTTTTCCCTCGCTCAACTTTTCTTTCTTTCTTTTTTTATTTTTATTTATTATTAGTTTTTTTTCTGGTGCCCATAACTTTAGGCTAGGAATTTAAGGTCACGTAGATCTTTTAACGTCTTTCAAACTTTATCTACTAATTAAACTCAATTTTCTTAATTTAACCATTATAATTGCAACTTGTTCGAGCATTGTTAGCATGTATGAGGCCAAAGAGAAACACATCGGTGTACAAACTTAATCAAAATATAATAAAAAAAATACAAAAGTCCCCATTAGACCGATGATGGAATTGGTGTTCATGGAATTTTCTTAAGAGAAGTGTCCTATAAGTAATCATGACTTGAAAAAATAGGAGCTTCACAACACACTATTGCATATCATAGAGTCAGACCAACCAAATTACAATGAACAAAGCCGTGCCTTAGGAATTTAAATAATATAAAGGGGAGATGAAAGAAGCAGTTATACAATACCTAATTGATTAGATGATCATCTTTTTCATTACTTATGGTGAATGTCATTGTAAGTTCGGTGAAAAGCCTCATATAGCATAACCCCCAAGTGTTAATACAAGTATAAGAGTGATGCAATGTTATATTAGCAAGGTGCCATGCACAATGTGCGTGAAGTTTATTTATTTTTCTTTCTATCTGATCAAGTTTCACACTTCTCACTTTGCATTTGCAACAAAATAGAATGTTGAATTTAAAATTGAAAACAGTTGCAAGCTAAAAACCTATTATATCGCTTGCAGAAGCTAGAACGTAGAGATATTTATGAAAAAAAAAATGGTGTTCTAGGAAAACTAAATATTGACATGGTTTCAAAAACAAGTAAGGGTGTTCTCTCTTTGGAATTTTATAGATATGGATTATAGATAGGTATATGGTGTCCAAGTTTGGGGCCAATTTATTACTACTTTTCCTGAAAGACATCTTGAGTTGAGAATCTCTAATAAAATTGCAAATAAGGGCCGTCAAAGTTTCTAAAAGCATCATAACAGTTCCATTTTCCTTTTTGTTTTTGTCAACAAAACTAGAGAATGAAGACAAACAAAAATACACACACACACACACACACACACACACACATATTGGCCATGTTAATTTCTGACATTAACGCTCAATCTAGCACATCAACATAAGTGTGCAATTTTAACACATTCACCCTTTCCAAGATGTCATTGCGAAGACCATTTTCAAACTTTCTTGCCTTTTTATGGTCGGTGTCAACAATATGTAGAGAGAATCTAGCCAATTCAGTGAACTTGGCTTCATACTCAGCTACATTCAGATTGCCTTGCTTCAGTCCTTCAAATTTTGACACCTTTCTATCACGGACACACTGTGGAAAATATTTCTAATAAAAGAGTGCAAGAAACTGACCCAGTCAATGCCCTTGTTATCATCACGGATTAGCATCCACCACCTTCTTGCTTCATCTTGCAGTGTAAAGGTGGCTAATTTTACTTTCTGTGCCTTTAGGCATGGGAATACTTCAAATAACTTCTTAATACCAAGGGCCCAAGCTTTAGCCTTCAATGGGTCCACACCCCCGTGGAACAATGGTGGCTTGATTTTCATGAATTCTTTAGTGAGGGCTATTGTTCGGTCATGATTTTGCAAATCCGGTATAGGTTATACTAGAGGTGGGTGTTGCCACTGTTGTTGTTGCCTCAGTGTTTATGCCATATCTTGCATTATTCTCTCCATTCGGTCTAGTCGAGCAGTGGAGAATTCTTCTAGCTCATCGGCTCTTGTTCTCACCATTATCTAATGAGACTTGCATTATAATTCATACAGAAGATATACACAATATTCATGCCTAGAAGAGCACATTTATACACTAAGGCTATAAATATATACACTACAACAAAAAACATTTTTGGTGACACTTTTTAGCAACCAAACAAAAATTTAGTTGCCAAAGATACATGATTGGCGACAGAATATTTGTGGTCACTAAAAAATAGACTTTTGGCGACGAATTTAGAATTTTGGTCGCTATTGATTTTGGCGCCAAGTGAATTTCTTGCGCGGGAGCGCGAAAAATTTTTTAGCGACCAAATTAATTTATAGCGACGGAACATTTAGTCGCCAATTGTATTTGTTTGGCGGCAGACATTCCTTGGTCGCTAAAAATCTGAATAATATTTTTGGCAACCAAATTAATTTGGTTGCCAAAAATATTATTCAGATTTTTAGCGACCAAGGAATGTCTGTCACCAAAAAAATACAATTGGCGACTAAATGTTCCGTCGCTATAAATTAATTTGGTCGCTAAAAAATTTTTCGCGCTCCCGCGCAAGAAATTCGCTTGGCGCCAAAATCAATAGCGACCAAAATTCTAAATTCGTCGCCAAAAGTCTATTTTTTAGTGACCACAAATATTCTGTCGGCAATCATGTATCTTTGGCAACTAAATTTTTGTTTGGTTGCTAAAAAGTGTCACCAAAAATGTTTTTTGTTGTAGTGCCACTTTTAACGGCGGTAACAAAGCCGCCGCTAATGCCCAATCATTACCGCTGTTAATGATGGCGGTCTTTGCCGGCGGAGCTCCGGCGAAACTCCGACGTGCTTCGGCGAAACTCCGGCGAGCTCCGGCGAAACCATCTATAATAAAGTAAAAGTAATGTTTAAATATTTATTTAGGGAATATATTTCATGAAGAGTGGCTATGGCAGAGTGGTTGGTGTTGGTGGATGAGAGGTCTTGGGTTCAAAACTTGGGGAGTGCAAGAAGAAAGAATTATTTTTTGAAAAATTTGAACCTATTTACGGCGGTAAAAAACCGCCGTTTTTGGTCCTATATTACCGCCGTTTTTGGTCAACTTTTAACGACAGTAATTTGCCTTTTTACGACGGTTTCACTTTTTCCAACACACGCATAAACGGCGGTAACGAAACCGCCGTTAATACTGCCGTTAAAGGCTTTAACGGCGGTTTTACAGCCTTTAACGGCGGTAAAAAGCCGTCGCTAAAGCCCAATTTTGGCGTAGTGTCTCCATCACTCTCCCTCTCCCTCTCCCTCTCCCTCTCCCTTGCTCCTGAATTGCCTTCTGGAAAAACATCTCACTCCCGTCGCAATCAACCAATCGATCGTTGATTCATCCGTCTTTTCACCTGTCACTGTGTAGTATCGTCGTTCAACTGTCTCTTTGTACTCAGCCGTGATAAATTGCCGGATATCTGTGAAACAATTCATCGAATCGTTCAGTTTTTTGCGGAGGCCGTTGCGTGTGCGGTCTGAAGAGCTTCCGGTTAAATCTCTGCAACATCTCAACAGTAGTGAGACTCGCATAGTTCTTCTCAGCAATCAAATTGTAGGTCTCCTCTGATTGGACCTCGTAAACGAACTCGTGACCTAGAAACCCTAGTTCGCCATTGCAAGCACATAAGAAGGGGACATTGACTCTGGAATCACGCTAAACAGAGTCTGGATTGGTGATTTGAGGATTGTAGATTTGGATTTAGGATAGTGAAGAGGAAAGTAATTTGGATATGTTTGTGAGATTCGATCTGTCCCAAACGTAATACGAAGCTAATGCGTTGCATTGTTGTTGTTCACTACTGCATTTGGAATCTACTCCAATGGAAAAGAGGATGATTTGAGTTTTGAATATATATATATATATATATATATTTGTGTGTATGAGTGTTGTTGAACACATGTATTATTTTCATTGAGATTTATGATTGTTGATGGAGTTTTAGAAGTATTTCTTCTCAATTAGATATGTTGATTTGTTGATTAATTTATTTTGTTTTTGTTTGTTTGTTTTTTTTTTTTTTGATTTATTTTTGTTGTTTTTTTATCTAATTTCATTTTGCTCTGTTTTTTTCATTTGACAGAACCAGAGTAAAATTTTACTTTTGTACAGAGTAAAATTTTACTTTTGTGTAGAGTCTAACATTTTACTAGTTTTTCAGAGTAAAATTTTACTTTTATACAGAGTAAAAATTTTACTTTTAGTTTCAGAGTGTAACATTTTTCTCTTATTCACAGTAAAATTTTACTTTCATACAGAGTAAAATTTTACTTTTAGTTTCAGAATATAAAATTTTACTTTTATACAGAGTAAAATTTTACTTTCATACAGAGTAAAATTTTACTTTCATACAGAGTAAAATTTTACTTAATAGGAGAGCTGATAGATATGAGAGTAATATAGTAAAAGAAACAAGTTTTAAAATATTAGGGGATTTTGAAAGTACTTATATAATTCTTGTCATTTTGAAAGACAAATTAGATAGTGAGGGGACTATCACCAAATCCCCCAAAAAATAACAACAATTATTTTTTGAAAAAATAAAAAATATTTTTCTTCAAAAATTTAAAAAAATATATTTTTTCAAAAAAATATAAAATAAAAAGTAATTTAAAAGGACAAATTTAAAAATATATTGTTTTTGTTTAATAAAATTTTGAAAATAATTTGGTTATAAGTTTTGAGTTATGTATTTGATTATGAGTTTTGAAAATAATTTTTGAATTGAGTTTTGAGTTATATGTCTAGTTATGAATTTTGAAAATATTTTTGAATTGAGTTTTGGGTTATGTGTTTGGTTCCGATTTAAGTGTAGAGTTGTATTTTAAATTTAAAATATTTACAAAATAAAATAAAGTATTTAAAATTAAAAAATTAAAAATATTTAAATAACAGTTATATGTTTAAAATAAAAAATAAAATTTTCTTAAACATTTTTAAATATTTAAAAAAAAATTCAAAAAATTTCCAAATCTAACTCAAAATTTTAAAATTAAAAACTCAAAATACAACTCAAAACTCTTTTTAAAACTCATAACCTAACAAATTTTATTTTTTCAAACTCAACTTATAATTGCATACTTAAATCATAATTTCATACTCAAATCATAATTTGAAAAATAAACCAAATAAATCATTTAATTTTCTAAAAAATGAATAATGAGTTACGAAATCACACAAACTTTATTGGTTTTGTCATCAATCAAATAATTGAAGCACGAGGCGTGTAAAATTGTACTTCTTTCGTTTAGACAGATTTTTATTTTGATTATGAGTTATGTTTGGATTTCTAAATAATTTATCAATTTTTTTATTAAATTTCTTAAAAGTTTAATAAATATAATTAAGTTTAATAATTATAATTATAATTTTTTTTTATGAATTCGTAAATATTTTGTGAATTTACTGTAATTTTTCAAAAACCTTTTTCAAAAATTTAAATCGGTGTACCCCAACAATGAACGTGGTGAGATGGATGGAGACGATGGCTGACGTCATGTACTGATGCTTTGCTTACGCTGTGTTTCCTCGTCACTCAATGACGTCATTGATGACACAACGGCTTTTGGGAATTGGGAAGACGAGAGGCCAGAAAGTTCCCTCACATCCATAACAGTGGAAAATATTAAATAAATAATGAAAAATATACTATAAATTATAATATAAAAAAATGATAGTTGGAGAAATTGCCAAAAAAAAAAAAAAAAATCAAATTTTGAATTTTGTAATAAAATAAATCTTGAATTTTAATTTTTTCAATTTGAACTTTAAATTTTTTACCATTTGTTTCTGATCTAAACAAATGTTGTGCCTATTTTCACTAATTAAAATTGATAGAAAAATAAGACATTTATTTGTAAATCTCATTTCACCTATTTATGTTTCACTTAGGTCTAATTTGGCAACATCACTTTTTAGCCTAAAAATCAAAAAAAGTCATTAAAAAAATTAAAAAGTTAACAATTTATACCAAAAAGTTAAAGATTTCTTTTTTTCTCTACTTTTTACACATTTTTTCTTAAAAAATTAAAAAGTCATCCCAAATATACTATTTTTTTACATCATATTTTAGGCAAATAGTCAAAAAATTACTAAAAAATCTGTTTCCAAACAAGGCCTTAGCCCATTTTTTTATTATTTTATTATTTTTTATTTCAATATGTCTTATAATGTGATTCAAACTCTCTAATAGTATTTAATATTAATGTTCACCAATATTTATGAAAGAAAATTTGTATATAAAATACCTTAAATAAATAATTAAGATTTGATTGATCAAATGTTCAAAATAATAGGATTTATTGAAATACAAAAATATTTTATAGACTAATTGGGATACAAGTATTTCAAAGGGGATTTTTTTAATAAATTATAGAAATATATAAAATATCTAAAATACTCTTTTTTTATTGAGTTTAATAATTAAAATATTATTTTTCTGTCAATTTTACTTACCGAAAGTAATTAAATAGTTTGTATTGAAAATAAATAAATAAAATTTAAATTTAAATTGATTAGATTGGAAACAAATGATAATATAAAATTTATTTTGTTGTAAGAATTAAATTTTGAGAATTTTTTTAATTTTTTCAAAAATATTTTTATTAAGTGTGATAAAAAATGTTTCAAAAAAATGAGTCCAAATCCTCACCAGCCAACCTCTCCAACCCTTCCTCCGTTCAAGAGTCAGGATTTAGCTACGTCACGTTGGAGAGAATCTACGGCTCAAATCAGATTAGCTTTTAAAAAAAAAAAATTGAATTGAACTCATTTTAATATTGGTTGGCGCTCTCTCACTCTCCCTTCCACAGCCAAGAACAAGAGCAAAAGCATGAGGACCCCACAATAACTACAATACAATGATATTCCAAAGCTTAATTTGAAATTTTAATCATTATTCCTTTCTTCAACATCATCATCTTCTTCTTGTTTGTCATCATCATTACTCTTATTCACGTCATTCTTTCCTCCTCTAAATTCAGAATTTTCAGGATTTCAAACAGATCCATTTTGGGTGCTCCGCCATAGATGCAGAAATTGAAGAATTTGAATGAATTGAACCCAGTTCAGAAACAGACCCTTTTGTTTTTTGTTTTTGTTTCAAGATTCAATAATTGGAGAATTTGGAAAAAAAACCCATTTCACCATAGCTCAAGTGGGATCGCGGTTGAATCTTCGGAGAAAGGCACAAGGAGAGATCGTCGATGTTCATTTGCCGATTTGGACTCGCCGTCGTCGGTGGCACGAGATGGCGGCGTCGGTGAAGAGGGAGGGAAAAAGTGAATGAGAAGGAAGCTCTTCTTTGATGTGTAATGTGCTAGATAATGTCTCAATGGACCACATAATTAAATGTGGTGTTATCATTTATAAGAAGCCTATAATTTAAGTGATTCAATTTAGTTAATAGGCTTAAGGGTATATGTGTTATGAACCTAATGTGTAGATACTAGTTGTATAATTTCTATTTCTATGAGGGGCAGAAATAGAAATTAAAACATATTGGTTAAAGTTGGTTTTCATTACCTTTCAGTTTTAAAACCAATAATGGTTAATTTATTGGTTTTCATTACCTTTCAGTTATGAAAACCAATTACAACCTTTAAAAGGTTATGGTCCATATTCCCTCCCAAGGTGGAAAAAATAAGAATACTGTTTTGTTTTTCTAAATCCTCTCAAGGAGAAACATAAGGCACCAAAGAGAAAGGATTACAAGGCTCTAACAAAGTCAATATTAAGGTTTTATTGACAATCAAACGCTTCCGTTTAACCGTTCATCAATGGATTCAGGTATGTCATTTTGTCTTGATTTCTTGATAATACACATGGTAAATGATCCAAAGTGTAAGGTTTATGTTCTGAAATTTTATGTTTACATAAACCACATAAAATTGTCTTTAAATTAATGTCAAAACAAGCAAAGTATCAAAAGTGAGAAGAAGAAAAAAAGAAAAAAAAAAGGAAGTGAGACAGCATTGTGTGTAAGAGAGAAATAGAGAGCATGTATTTAAGGTCATTAATTTCACATATGAAGTCACTGGTCTCAGATCTAAGATGGTGGAGACGATGAAGATGGTAGTTATTGGTGTTAGATCTAAGATGGTGGGACTGGTGAGAGATACTGGTAACTCTTGTATCAGGTCGTGGATACGATGAGCGGCAGTGGTTAATGATGGAGATGAGCAGCAAGATAGAGAGAAAGATAGTGATAATGTATTGCAACAGAAATAGAGTAGTAGAAAATAATGAGACTTTCTCAATATAAGTCAATTCAAACAAGATGTCACAAAAGTGATCTCTCTTGTCTAGATTGTTTTATATGGAATGTTTTGAAGTTCATGTCTGTGTATCTCATGCGGGTATTTATCGGTCCAAAGACATGATTAAGACTTGGTAGAATTACACACACATTTTGTGGTGATAAACGTGTGCCAATTGTCAAGAAAACCTAATGTGAATAATAAATCCATCAAAAGATAGATTTGTTATTTGACATAACTTATTGTCAATGTTTGATCATTACAACAAGAATACC